GCTGCATTTGAGGTTTCCGTAGTTTATTCGGAGAATATTGTGGATTTTCACATCTGAAAAGGGAACCAGCGGTGTGTGTGTGATAATGCATACTTACATGTTTGGGCTCTATTTTTCTGTTATCTTTCTGTCTCTAAGATTGTAGCCCAGAAGCCTCTGGAATGATACCATCACGAATAAAAAAGCACTCAGACGAGGCGAGATGGCCCAAGTGGTTAGAGCGCAAATTTATTGACCGAAAGGTCCACGTTTCGAATCCGACCTCTGCCTCTCGACTTCCCCTGTCTAGGCTGGCAGTATCCCAGCCCTCGTGCTTCCTTTGGGCAGCATGGCAGTTAGGCACCGGAAGGGTGTTACAGATGAGAGATTTTATTTTTTCAGACATTTCTGGGAATGGGCTTTCTTCGGACAGCCACTTAGCAATGGCTGGCGGGAGGGGGACTCTACTGTGCACTGCCCATGATGGCGCTTTCTACACACACTATACGTCTGTTCTCCATAAATTTATCGGTGAAATGGAGCCAGATACATGTTCTACAAAGAACATTTCCGGGGCTGGAGAAGTGTCCCGTTGTCAGCCCGATTCCTTTGCGTTTTAGCAACTTGGTCAGTGTGATTCACTTGAAAGGAGTCTGTGACGTGTGAAAACTGGTGCTTTGTGGAAAGTAACTATATAGCTAGGTCATTTTTTCGACAATGGCCTCCGTTCAATATCATTTTCCCTTATTTTTCCAGCCAACTCATGAACCTCAACGGGCATCAGTCCAGGAACCCACACCAGAGGTGTATCCAGAATCCGAACAAGAGCCTGCTGTTGAAACCACAACATATCCCACGGAGCACGTAGACCAGGTGTGTTCAGACGCAGTTTGTTGGTAGTATTGCTGAAGCCTTGCAGATGGAGTCGGTTCAAGACTGTTGCAGTCGCATCTAAGGATGAAGTTACTTTGTAGATAGCTTAGTGGTTAAGGCGAGAACTTACTGAATGTAAGGTCCGTGGTTCGAACCCAACCTTTGCATCTCGGCTGCTGTTGTCTAGGCTTCGGCGACCTGACTTTATCTCAGCCGTCGTGTTTCCTTCGGGTGAAATGATAGTTGGACACTAAAATGTTGTTATGGCTGAATGCTGACGACGAGATTGTTGATTTGAAACAGCTCAACTCGTTTTTCAACGTGGGACCAACACAGGATCCAAAACCCCCCATTCCAGGACCCGCCCATGGCTTCTGACTTCTCTTATTTGAGCCGTGGAAAGTACATACAGGAAACCAGTAATTTGTAATTTTCTGACCCTATTCCAGGGTTGTCTTCAGTCCTTCCCATTCTGCCCACACTTGGAGTGACGAACCTCAGTAGGCATGTATCCTCACTGCTTTACTAGAATATTTTGGTATCATCCACTTTGGAAGGTAGACTTTCCAAGAGACTTGTGACCAAGTGACAATACCGTTTCAAAGTGACTGATACGATAACGAGGTTGTTGACTCGACCGCACTGCCACAACATTAATTGTTTCAAATCATTTTGTCGTGATGAAAATAATGGGCAATTTTCCATCCAAGTCTGAATCCTGTTCCACAATCTTCCATCAATTATTGGATCAACGTCCTATCGTTTTCCGAATGAAACTGCCTTTGCAGCTTTCCCACACATACTATGTGGTCTCAGTCGAGGATACCCGTCACGATCGTTGAGGCCTCGTCGGTATAGACTTTTGGAATTCAACTCTTGTTCATACTTGCTGTCTGCCACTCTGCTTGTCAGAGATACTGTTGTCCGTTTCATATGATTCAGTTGTATCGTTTCCTATGTTACACTTGTTTATGGTTCATGTTCGAAATTCTTTTAGACCGCTTGATTCCATCTGGGATAACCTTTATTTGCTTCGCGCTTCCGATAGGTTTCCGAATTGTCGGGATCCGATGCTCTCACACAGTGTACAGTTGTCGCACTGTACGATTATACTGCAGGTGAGTACCAGGACCAGTGGTCTTCGACTAGAATTTACTGATAAACACTTTTCCATTGAACATCTTGTCTGATTGCTACCACTCGCTTTCAGTTCTTAAGAAGTTGTTGCCCATCTCTGCGATAAACGTCCATCGTGAGCTTGGGGAAGAAAATGCTACACGTGGGTTAAGCACTGCCACTATCTTCCCACGCCATTACGATTTTTTTTCCGCTGTGCATATGTTTCTCGCCCTGTCGAACGTCTGGGCCAATGCTCCCCAGCTTGTTTCACAACTTACTTCAGTGCAGTGCGAAAGGCTCTGTCCGGGTTTTGTCAGTAAACAAGGTTTTCTTTAAGCTACTCATGAGTACTAAGTAGGATCAACCTGTGTCTGAACTTTCAAGAGCCACTTGAACCAGACTAGTGTGCGAATGAGTGTAGTTCTCAAATCTCGTCCAATTCGGGCCTAAGTGGAACATAAGGTTGATGGAAACCAGGAGATTGCGGCTACCTGATGAGCTCCAAGAACTTCGAAACCGGTCGTGATCTGTCGGAGAGTTACCAGTCAAATCCATATCCGAACAGCACCATTATCAATTATTTCTATACAGAAGCCCTCTTCACTCAAATTTCCAAAATGTTCGATTTCATAGCCTAAAAATTCGGTTGAACGAGCCGCGTGAGCAAGATCAGTAGCTCACTATCAGTGGTTTGATAATTGTATGAATTGACCAAGAATCGTGCCGAAAACGAGTTGGTGAGAAACACTCTGCTCTAACTGATGTATTTTCGTCTCAAGTTCACATTCACTTGTCACACCCAACCACCTGTGGGTTGACCAGTAACCACCCCATCTCTGACCGGTAGATTACAAGTAATGGATGATGAATATACTTCCCGACAACTTAAGCGAAGGTTACATTTCAACTTGTACACTCAACCAGACAGTGTCCTCTCAGATAAAAAGGCCAACGAATTTAGACGTCACAGGAAGTGGGGAGAAATCACCTTCCATCCTTCACACAGCCGGCGCGATCAGTCATTTACTGAAATAAAACTACTTTTATCCTGCGATTTTTACTCCAACTGACCGGGCCTTTGTTGTCCATGCCTTGCTGGCCTGGTTTTTTTGCGACTCTATGATGGAGGCTTTTGGGTTAACCCAAATCATTTTTTCCGGCGGGGGGGGGGGATTTCATATTGAATGGATGTTCATTTTGGAGAGATGTTACTGTACGGCTTAGGGTATCTACGATCCCCCGCGATGTCATGGATTCAAACAACAGGCCATTTTCCGCCCTCAGCTCCTTCATTTGTTCCAACTCTGTGGTGCCCCTCGCTTGACCGACCTCGTGTAGTTACGTCTGATTGTCCTGGTGCCTGACAGGAAGGTCCCTCACCGGACCCCATCTTCAAGAGAATGCGACTGTGCCACGTGATATACCGTTCTTCGTGGGAACGAGAAGGTAATAGAATTTAGGACTATGGAAATGGTTTCGGGTTCTTTTTCTACAGCGATGATTTTTCGCTGAGGTAAACGAACACTCTACGGAACTTGGGACGTTAGATTGTGTCACATTATGTCAGAAATTTCAGGGTAACTGTTCGGTTAGTATGTTGTGGTACCATAAAATGCTTTGAGCAAGTCGCAGGCTTCTGCCGTGGAAACCGAAAATCGTGTACTGACGGTCCGTTGTAGTTGTTCAGATTGCCTTGTGTTACTTTCGATCAATTCAGTTTATAAGAGCCTGTTCCTGGCTGTGATGTTGCGGAACTGCTGGAGGACGAAAACTCGTTGGTTACACTATCATCTCTGATGTAAATGTGAATCCAGGGGTGTCCGCGTCCACAGGAGTCGGATGTTTACTATCAAGGGACGGTTGGCCATGGAACGGGCTATCATGGAAGATCCTGCAAGGAGGCGAGGTTTTGCTCGGATGTTTACAAGGGACGGTTGGCCATGGAACGGGCTATCATGGAAGATCCTGCAAGGAGGCGAGGTTTTGCTAGTCACTGATAGACCCACCATACTTCATGCTATTTGTTTGCCTGACAACCTTTCCTGCACTGAACCTACTGCATACAACCGTACATGAGCATGGCAATCACGATGCTAATGTTATCCTTTCCTATCTGAAATTTACGACTGTACGTACTTGACTTTCAAAATCATCGCAGACTATTGTATTGCCATGCATCCACAATTCGTAGTAAGCGGGCTGCAATCCCTCCCCCCCAATACTAAACTCCGTCCTCCCTCTGAAGAGGCAACTTCACCGAATCGATCAAAAGTAGACATACACTTCTGCGGACTTGTTTTTGATGCGAGGAACTTTATCGGCCAAACGTGTTTCAAAAGGAAGGAATGTGTACTTTGTTCGTAGTCACACCACTCTCGTTTGAACGGCCGTCCTCCTGTTGTGGTGCAAAACCCCAAAATTGCAACCAAATAGTTGCCCAGTAGGTTTCAAGTGTGTGTCACACTACTTGACTGGGAAGTCCTAACTGGTGGGTCAATCGCTCGTCACAACCAGGACAGTTACCGGGTCGTCGTTCGATGGATCGAGCACACCAGTCACATCGCTCAAGTGTGAACACATTCGCCTGTTCAGACGTGATAATTCAGATGCGTCCAATTTTTGTCGGTGGAGTGGTGGTTACACGCTCGCCTCGCATGTCAGATGTCCGGGGTTCGAATCCCGGCACGGCCGTTGGATATACACTGCTAATGAGCTCTAATAAGACCGAGACTCGAGTCCAGTGCTTCCGTTTGGTGTGGACTCACCGGAATAATTACGCCAGAACAGGAACACGGTCGTTCAAACGAAAGTGGTGTGACTACGAACAAAATACCTATCCCGCATAACCCCAGAATTTGTACTTCTTTATCGTTTTTGTGAGGTGACCTATGCGTTCATGTAAACCGAAAAAACTGAGGTAACAATGAATTATCGAGGTGCTGTGACTATCAGTCCTCGGAGTTTTTCTCTTGTTAGTTGTGGACTTCTTATTAGCAGTTTCTTAAACGTGCTCAAACGAATATCCCTGCTTCATATCCTTCCAGAGGAGGCTGATGAGCTCACCTTTTCGGTCGGTGAACTCATCACAGAAGTTGAATTGAAAGATTCTGGATGGTGGAAAGGAGTTTGCCGTGATAAAGTTGGTCTCTTCCCTTCCAATTATGTTCAAGAGCAATAGCAAGGACGTGCATGCTCTACTGACGCCATATTGACCTGCTTTCTACTTTTTATTATTTTCGCTACTTGCCTTACTCCATTTCGCATGTCTTTTCTACGATTAAAATGAATGTCACTTGACCTGCTCACGATAAAAAATCTTTTTTCTATAAGTGATCAATATATAAAACATTACCTGATGCACATTGTTTTTCTGGCCCACATCACCTTTATGATAACGCAAACTATCAGCTCCAAGTCCGCGTTCAAAAGCAACCTAATTTAACCGGTGAGGCTTTCTTCCAAGTTGCCCTCAAATGTGATCTGCTCTCTTGAACTGCTGTAGATGCAGAAAGTGACGCCAAACCAGCTGTCAGAAGCAAAACGAAGCGATACAACTAGCTGATGACCAGTCAATGGCTTCGTCAATTT